AGTGGGTGAATCCTTACCCTCCAAATGTCATCATCCAATGCATTAAAGTGTTTCCACACAAATGTCAACAAGTGGACCATTGAGAGTGTGACACTTGTCGCACTTTTTAAAAATTACAAAAAGGTCCTTTTTGAAAATATCTTCCAAATTTAATTGCAAAATGGTCCCCAAGATGAAAAATAATTACTTTATTTAATTATACTAAAACCCCACAAGTTAAGAATAATTATACTAAAGTATGCATTAGAGCCCCTTTATGAAAGAAGCATGCAATCAACATGCTTTTCTAGAAAAGTAAAAATACCACTATCATGGAAATCAAATATCATGAATGCATGCAAAACTGGAATCAAATCTGAGCACAAAAAGTGAGGTTGTGCAAGGAAAAAGGATAAACGAGAAAAAGACAAAATGTAAATAGTGTTCGGAAAAATAAACTATGGAAATGACACAATCCCCAAAGGAAGTTGTCAATATAAGGAAAAGAGTCTCGGAAATCATTCCAAAGCACTCGAGATGACATCAAGTGATGAAAAACCAAACCCAAAAAGGAAAAGACAACGGAAAAAAAATATCCGTTAAAATCTGAGAAAAAGAAAAGGAAGAAAAATGACCGGATCATTACATTCACGATGTTGTCCCTAACAAAACCTCTCGGTATCGTTGAATTCAGAGCACTTTTATTTTAGTGTGCCTTTGAGATTTTCATCTCAAATTGAGGTAGGGGGTGTTATAGGTTTAATTCTTGTTATATAGCATGATATTGATGCTTATACAACTTGATTACATGCTTAAATATAAAATCTAGAGATTTTATTATTTATTTTTCTTGTATGGGATCTAATTTTCCCGGTTGGTCATGACTTGGTTTAAACATGTAGCATGATATTATATTACCCCTTGATATGCTCATTGTCGTGTATTAAATTTGGAACATTTGAATACGTATTAAAGCTTTTATTTAATATTTATCTTAAGTGAAAGATTAATTCACATGACCTTAATTAGCTTGAAATCAATGTGTGTTAGCATATTAAATTAGGCCTAGCATGCTCTTCAACATAGATTAATTTTAGCTTAATCGGAGATGTTTTGAAATCTACTAATTATTAATTAAATTGATTAATTAATTTGCTCCGGGTGCACTATTCACCCCATTGGAATTCTAACTAGACATTCTTGATATGTATACTATATGGTTTTACATATATTAAATCTAGAATATTTGATTAGGTTTTGAAACCTTTCATTTATTTATTTTCTAGTATTAAAGTTTAATACTCTTGGTCTTCTCTTACATGGAATTCACTTGTGTCGTGTTTTTAAATCAAGTCTTGGTTTGTTGTATAACATATATAAATTTGAGATCATTTGGATGAATTTCAAAACTTAGGGATTTTAATTAAATGAAATAATTAAAATCCATTTAATAGCTCATTGGTCTTGATTAAGTTTCTAACTTAGGATTCATGCTTTTCATGACAAGTTCCTTTACGTGTATCAAATTAAGAATAACCGGATAAGTTTTGAAACTTATATTAATTTATTTCCTTTGTATGGAACTAAATTCACATGGTTGTATTTTGAATGAAATGAACTTGTAACTCGATATTAGACTTGTTCTTCACATGATCCTTGACATGTCTTGTTTGTAGAACACTTGGACTTGTCTTGTAATCTTGATAATTTAATCCCTTAAGTAGATTAAATTTCTGTTTATGCTTCCATCGGTTTAATCATGACTCCTTGTATCTTTTATCAAGCATCGTGACCCCTTTGTATCTTGGCTTCATTAGTGTACTTCATGGACTTGCACATTTGTTTCAATTACACATGTGTTATTGATAAGTAATTGAACCATGTATCTTATACTTGTGGTATATCTATTTCAATGAATTTCATGTGTTATACATCTTGTTTCTAGTCTATATAGATTCACACTATGAATTCTTGACATTTTCACATGCCATGTTATTTGATGAACTTAGGGCATGACTTGTGTGTTTCAAAATCTTGGTTGTGCATGAAACGTGGTTAATGCATTTCTTGTATGTGATACAATCTTGGTTGCACAACTTGTTGATTTTGGGACTTGGGATATCAATCAAGAATAGGGGAAGGTACCCTTGGGTTGAAAGTCCTAAAGTGATCCCAAGAATGGGGGAAGGTACCCTTGGGTTGAAATCCCTAAAGTGATCCCAAGAACGGGGGAAGGTACCCTTGGGTTGATAACCCTAAAGTGATCCCAAGACTAGGGGAAGGTACCCTTGGGTTGGTAACCCTAAAGTGATCCCAAGAGTACGATTTTAATCCGGGCGATATCCAAGTTTCCACATTGTTTGATTTCACTCTTTAAATTTCAAGTTGTTATTCCTTGAAGATTTAAACTTGTCGTGTATGTGAAATGCTCCAATCCTGTTTACTTGCATAGATATTATGCCCTGTTCTTGATTCATGTATAATTCTTTTAGTGTTTAATGGAATGTTCTATCCTAGTTATTTACATAGATATTATGCCTTATTTCTGATTTCGTGTATAACTCTTGTCTTGCTAATTGGATTATCCCAATCTTGTTACTTGCATAGATATTATGCCCAGTTCTTGATTCAGAGTATGTTTCTTGTCATGTTCTTAGGTTGTCCCAAATCTTGACTTGTTTCATATGTTTCTTAGGTTGTCATGTAGCTTAGGATGCTCCCTGAGTCTCATTGTGACATAGACGTTAGGTGGTATAAGCCTTTTAAACATGTTTCACCTTAAGGTGATATAAATTGTAAAATGCTAGGTCGATGCATGCTCATCTCCTACGAGTAGCTTTATGTTGCTCACCCCTACGTTACTGGTGCATATTTCAGGTACAGGACTCAAGACTTGAAGATTTCATTTCTTGGGTGATTTGTGGCTTCACATGACAAAACTTGTATTCTTGATTCTATGTATGTAAAGTGTACATAAGTACACTATTTTCAATGTATTTGACATGTGTAACATGAGGCCAAGGGCCACAAACCATTAAGTTCAAGTCTATGTATGTAAACTTTAAGTTTTACCTTTGAAATGTAATTTTTCCAACTTTTGAGGTTTGACATGTCAAATTTTGTAAATGGAATGTAATGAGGCTGTAGGCCATTGTAGCATGTCTAAAATGAAATATTACACTTGCGTGCATGTTCACATCATCACACACTTGCATACTTTGTGAATTGAACATGCCATAGGGGATTCTAAGTAGACTTTCAGCCTTGAGTGTATAACATGAAATTTTTGCACTTTCTTGAGTCATTTCGGTCGACCGAAGCCTTTTGGGTTTTGTTTGAACCTTGAAACTTCACTTTCCAGTAGCCAAAGTCAGCATTTAAGGTCATTTTGGTCAACCGATGGCTCATTTCGGTCGACCGATGGCTCATTTTGGTTTATAGAACCAACCAAGCTTTAAGAACCTGATTTCAGCAGAGATTTTCTTCATTTTAGTCATCCGATGGGTCATTTCGATCGACCAAAATAGCCTGATCCCGAGAGTTGCTTCAGTTCAGTTCTAGTACTGAACTTCCAACTTCGAACGGCCATAACTTCTTCGTTTCTAACCCAAACAGGGTGATTCTTGAGCCTAAATTCATGAGCTTGAAGTCAGATTTCCAATGACACCAACTATGCATTCAAAATCCATTTGTAGTAAGATTTATTCATGTTTTAGTGAGAGGGTGTCAGTTTTTACTTCAACCTGGAAGGGGCATTTCGTGGGATTCTTGTCCAAAGTTCTTAGAACCTTTTGGAATGTTGTGAAATGATTGGATTAGGTTGTGTGGACCTCATTTGACTTATTTAGAGTCAAATCTCCTTTTTTAATTACAAATTGACCATTTTGCCCTTGAGTAACGAGTTTCGCTCATTTTTCTTCATCTTGACGTTTGTCCTTCGTTCGGACTCGAAATCATGAAATTCTTGAGTCCATCATGATTTTTTTTTTATTGTCCTTCCAGTGGTGTGCTCGGTGGCACCTGAATCCATACATTATGAAATGACCTTTCTAACCCTAGGTTCATTCTTGTTCGTTTTTGAAACGTCGCTGCCGCATTTTGTTTCATTTGAGTTCATTGACCTCATGGATGGTCATCTTAGGGTCTTAGAGGTGTGTTGTGCCTTGTGACACCAATGTCTTGTTTCTTACTTCCGCATCTGGATCTGTTATCGGGTCAATCTTCGATTCATCACTGTAGTACCAGGTTGAATCAAAACCTGGGTCGTTACAGGTTGATTTTGGTTTTGATTCATTGTAGTATACATTATATGTATATATGTAATGTTAGTTTGTGAGAAGGAAAAAGGAGCAGCCGAAATGGAGTGGGAAGAGGTAATGAAATTGTGATATTTTGTGGGTCTCACTTAGATAATGTTAAAGTGTTGATTTTGTTTTATATATAAATATATATTAAGCTTTTGATGGAGGAAGCTACCAGCCTTGGAAAAGAAAGAAGGAAAGTTGGAAATGTGATAATGCGGTCCCACTTGAATGATGAGTTTTGATTTCATTGCATTTGTGTAAATTATATATACATATATATATTTACATCTAATGGAAGAGAGGATAGGGCAGCCGAAATGAGAAAAGAAAATTAGAAATGAAAGAAAGAAATTGGTGTGTTAGTGGCGGGCCAAGGAGATATTTAAAAGTGGTGATTGGTTTTGTTACATATGTAAGATATATATATATATATATATATATTTTTGATGTCTGATGGAATTGATAAGGAAATTGTGGTTTTTCCTTGCGGGTCCCACTAAGATTTTATTTGGGCAACCTTTTTGACTTTGATTTGTGCACATGGCTTTGTTAATTTCATACATTGAATCTAAATAATGTGAAGATAAGAGATAAGAAAGTGGGTGGCGTGATCATGTCATTTGATTTGATTTTGTCGGCCGATATTTGTTGTGTCGGTGGGATTGGTTCTATTTATAAGTTGTCTTTGCCTTGTGAATTTTTGAATGATACAGAGAAGGCAAATTAGCAAGAAAGAGAGTTTTGAGCCGAGGCATAGAGGTCCGAAAAATTGTTGACTCAGATGATTTATTATTTTACAAGGTAGGGATCATCATACCTTGAATGGCTTGGATGATTTTTTTTCAAATATTTTGTTGATTGTTATTTTGTTAAAATTACATATATGTATTTTGTTTAAAAGCATATATATATTTTTGTGAAGCAAATTTATCATGAAACTCTTTGAAATTCTTTTTATGATTTTTCCTAATGTCTCACCCCCCCTATAGTTTCAGGTACCGAGGATGAACTTGGATTCATAGTTGCAGGCTTAGATGGAAGAGTTGGAATTGAGGAATTAAATTATTTTATTTAGAGATTTTTTTGTATTTATTTGAGGAAATTCATTTAGTATCAATTTAATTAATTTGAGATGTTGTCTTATTTATTTGAGGAAATTTGATTGATTTAGTATCAATAAAGGATATTTCTTTTGAGATCCTGGGTGTATAATCATGTATTTTGATTTGCATAAATCGAGGATTTTATTTAGAAAATTCGGGGCGTGACAGAATGGTATCAGAGCCTGTACCTAGCCATAAGTGTGAGTTTAGTGATGATGTTGTCGGGTGTGTGTGGGCGAGTTTTTAGTATTGACTAGCTACCACTCGTTACCTCGTGTGTGTGTCCGGATGTCGTTTACTGGCAGCCGCTAGGATGATTACTATCGGTGATTAGGGGCAAGTGTCCCTAGATCACTATCGGTTTTATTTTGTAGATGGGTGACGGTATCGTCTAGTTACCACAACGGTTACGAAGTGTGTGGGCGGGTAAACAGCACTGTCAGCTACCACAATATTTTTCATGTCACTGAATTTCGCAAGGAATGAAATGAACAACTATACAACTATAACTAGAAAGCAATAAATGGATAATGCCACTTTCGTAGGGAACACGATTGCACTTAGCACATGCAACAAGCCTTTTAAACCCCTAGGTTACCCCTAGTGGACGAGTGAAGTCTCGTGAGGGTTTCCAGAAATGATACCCACAAACATTAAGCTCATTCTTTCAAAAGAGGCACCAATATTGCAAACAAGCATTGGGAGAAAACAACCTTAAGTATGCAACTTTCAACCCTTTCCAAGCAATCTCTCAAATTTTCAATATCAAGCAAGCAAGTATGGTCCTCCACACGTCAAGAAAATGATCATGCAAATCAAAACAACTCTAGAATTCTTTTGAGTGGACCGGCATCAATGTGTTGCTATCTAAGCCAACTGAAGAATTAATCACATCCTTACCCTCAAACTAGCATACAAATCTAGTACCGATCATCAAGACAAAAAGTGGACCTTTTATTAAAGCTTTATTGTTCTAGGCGCGCTTATTCTTTTCACTCGATTTTTTATTTTTTATTTTTTTATTATTTCTATTTTTATTTTTTATGGCATCAAAGATGGAAGTATAATGCAATGTGTTGATCTATTAAGCTTTCTAGCAATTCATGAGGTCGAGCGTTAGGTCAATGACTCCCAAACTAGACGACTTTAGGGCATTAGGTATTCAAATACCCCTACGAACTTACAAGCTCAAATCAACTAGGCTACAAATTAAGACAAAAACCATCTAATCATTTCCCACTTCTCACCTTTTGGGAGAAGTCCTCACTTTTTTTTTTTTTTTTCAATTATTAACCTAGAGTTTAGGCCCTCCACCTTTCAGCGCGAGAAGTTCAGTGCTTGATGAGGCTAGAATCTCGGCTACTTAGTGAAAAAGGGTTATTATCCACCTTTATCAAGAATGAAAGGTTTCAATGCACTACTAGCTCAATTGGGATATAACCAATTCAATAATCAATAAAGCATGTACCCCACAAATGAATGCTAGTGTGCGCCTATGCTAGTGTAGAAGACTAGAGTGAATCTCAAAACAATCACAAAATCAAGATGATGTGGACCACAAATGCAAGCAAGATATCAATCTTTCAAAAAATTTACTCCTAAATAGCATTCATAAGGCATACAAGGACTATTGGACTCTCAAGTCAAGCAATTTTTAAATTTTAACCAATATAGTCCTCAAAAGATCAAAATTATGGCTAGGTATGGACTAATCATAGAAATATCCCTCAAATACACGAGTCATGCTAAAAATTTGAATTTAAAACTATCACAATAGAGCACTATTCCCCCCAAACTTAAATTGCACAATGTCCTCAATGTGCAAAGAGAATAAAGGAAAGAGTATACCAGTGCAACTAAGTAAGAATGATTGGCACTGAAGTATCCGAAGTGGGTGGCATAGCCCACCTAAACTTGGGATGAACTGTGGTCCTGAAAATTGGCACTTGGATAAACTTATCAAATAACAAAATGGGATAATCAGTGCACAGTGAACATGCAAGTGTAAATGGGATAAACAAAAAATGAAATGAGAGAGGTATAAGGGTGGTCCTGCAAATTAGATAGCACTCTCTCACTGAAGTTACTGTGATGCACCTGATGGAGTCAAACATACAGATATGAGAATACAATCAGATGACATCCATAGCAAAAATAGATATATAAAATAGAGTAAGTGCAGGTACAACAAAAATATCAAAGCCGATAGACCGGCTGTAAAAAGAATTCAATGACAATAATAAAGTATCAAAAGGAGAGAGATCATAAGATAGAAAAGAGTGGGGGCTCAGGAAGATGAGGTAGGACGGGCAGGTCTGGCTCCGCAGATGTCTCTAGATAAATCTCTGAACATGGTCGTGACATCCGTGCGGAAGGTAGCGAACTCCGCTCTGTGGGCCTTAAGGTCAGCTCTGATGGCAACAACAGTGTCCTCGAGCGTCTGCAGACGCACTCCGAAGCCGGGGGTCAAGTCTGGTATGGAAGAGTCAGAAGACAGCTCCTAGGTCTGCTCCTGCTCGTGGATAGGTGACCCTGCTGGAGAATGCTGAACTGTGTCATCCGCTGAGTGCTCCAAGTCAATGCCTATATCAATGTCATCATGCTCAGAAGCTAGATCGACTGGTGCATCGTCCGCTGCGGGAGCTGCTGCTGCTGGCTCTACTGGTGCTGGGGCTGTTTGTGCTGCTGCCTCCTCCTTTAACTCCAGCTCTACAGCCGCCAGTATGGCATGGGTCTGCAGGCAAGTGAGAATAGCTCTGTAGCTCTTGTCCCAATCCTTCTTGAGGAAGTGACAGGAACCTCTCTCGGGGTCCTCTTGCGGGTAGATGGGATAACACTGGTCTATGAGAATCTGGGTGATCAGGTGGCTGAATGGAAGAGACTTGGCCCTTCTAGGTGCCTCCTTGCTGACGTACTCATCGTAGAGCTTTCTCATCACGCTCCAGATAAGCGCAGGAATAGACACCCAGTGGCCGGTATAGAAGGCGTACAGGGCTTTTAGATAGTCGCCCCGCCTCTGAATCTTGTGTCCGGCCATGTATATGTTCCGGAAAAGCACGAAATCGATGAACCAAAGGTCGTCTGGAAGATATGTGCGGGTGGCGAAAGTCTCGCCACCGGCACGGTGACCTGTGAGAAAAACCGCCATATTGGCGTAAGAAGGCCTGTGGAGCCTAGGATATGTCTCTTGTAGCTTAGGCGGGCACCGATGTGGACAGCGAGTCGAACGGGACAAAGTATCCACTGTAATGGTGATCTCATGGCCATCGATAAAGGTGATGAGCTCGGCTGTAGTGTGCGGTGACGGTCGGAGGTTCTGGTAGAACAACAGTACCAGTCGCGAGTAGATCAGCTTTGTGAATAGGGCAAGAATAGCTGAGAGACCCCGCTGAATGATGTCCTGGTAGGCAAATCAAGTCAGCACCAATCTGGAAAAGAATGTAGTGTCGAATGCTGACTCGTGGTCGATAGTCATGTGTGCATATCGAGGCGCGAGTCTGTCGCGCTGTAAAGGAGCTGGCTGAACAGGTGGAGCTGGCTGAGCTGGCTGTGCAGCGCCTCTATGCGGTGGAAATGGTGATGGAGTGAATACTGGATGAGCTGGCGACTGGGGTGGAGTAGGGTGTGATGGCTCCTCTGTATGGGAGGGTTGCGCAGTCTCCTCTGTCCGCTGTCGGACTCTCCTCTGTGTGTGCTCGGGGCTAGGATCCCGGACATGAGATGGACCGGTCCAGTCGTTAAGTCGGCGTCTAGTGCCGTGACGGTGTCTACGTGCTACAGTCTTGACACGAGCCATAGTCTACAAATAGAATTTCAAGAGTTAGTTCCAGCATATATAGAATATAAGGCATAATATAGAAACATGTATGTCAGATGAGATAGACAAAACAAGATATCGCATGATTCTATGCAGGTGGCAGAATATGAAACATGCCAAACAATGTGAGTATGAAATGCTTCCAATGTGGAATATCACAGGCATTGGGCATATATAAGGTAGCATGAACATAAGATAAGATGAATGGAGTGTGTATATGAGATCTGTGAAATTCGATCGATCATAAAAAGAAATGAGATCGATCACAAAAGTTGGATCGATCGAAGGTTGAGTTGGATCGATCACAAATATTCGATCGATCATAAATTTGTTCGATCGATCGAACAGTGCGATGATGAAACCTAACAGTCATAGATCTGTAACTTTTGAAGAACGGGGCCCACACGAACGTGTTTGTGGGCCCTACAATGCATCAAATCAGTAACTCCCATCACCCAAACATGGCCCATACTCCCAAATCAAAAAAAATAATCAAAAATATATGCAACGATATACATATATATATATATATATATATATATACATATTTCAAGCATCAACAATGGAGGTTTAATCATATATAAAGCATGAATCAAACATATAAACCATGTATGCACGAGATTGAAGCTTCAAATCGACTAGTGAGGTCTCGGATCTTTACCCAAATCGAAAGGAGATGTGGATGCAAAGAGGGAGGGATGAAACCGAGATGAGAGAGAGAGAGAGAAGCTTGGTTCTCACCGGAGATCTCGTTGGAGATGGAAGATATGACCTAGGGGAGATGATTTGCAGTAGAAGGGAATGAGAAGCTAGGGTTTGATGTGTTGAGATCGATCCAATGATCGATCTCAAGACCCTTGGATCATTTTTAAAAAACATTTCCCGACTAGTTCGATCGATCGAAGATGAGTTGTGATCGATCGAACTTTGATGAACTCCTTTCAAAGTATTTTTGGATTTTTGATTTTTTTTAAATTTGCAAAAATAAAATTAAAAATTGGAAAATAAAGTAAAACAAAATATTTTTGATTTGCTTTGAAAATATATATATATATATATATATATATATATTTAAATTAAATAATTAATTAAAAACTAAATAAAGTAAAATATTTTTGAATTTTTGAAAACTTGTTGAAAATTGAAACAAAATAAAATGAGAGTGAAAATATAATAAAATAAAAATGAAAATATTTTTTGGATTTTTGAAAAGTTGAAAAGTCAAACTAAAGTTAAAGCAATGAAATGAAGATTTGTGATCGATCAAAACAAGAGT